GGGGCAGATGAGGCTGAGGTGTGGCGAGACTGGGCTGCTTCTTTTGGGGTGCTGAGGCCGCGGAAAACGAAACGGGCCCTTTATTTCGCAAAGTTTGGGCTCAGGCTGGGGGAGGAGGGAAGAGGAAGAGGAGGGTGTCCCAGGGAGAAACACGTGAAGGAAGAAGTGTCCAACTGCATGTTAGCACAGGCAGGAGGGAAAGCAGCCCAACACTCGCTCCTACCCTTCAGCATTCTCTCTTCTTGTCCCCTCGCTTGTAGCAGATGAAGCTGGGCAGTTTCCCACCCTGATTTTTTAATACGGATTTATTCCGAATTCAAGGAATCCGTTCCAGCCACAAGGATTTAGGCGATGCTTACTACCCACCAACTCCAGAGACAATTTCCAGGAAAGACCTCAAATAGTGGTTGATTTGGTGGTTTGGTTTTTTAACGTCTTAGTAGTCCGAAAAGTTTAATTGATATCTAACTCCCGAGTTGGCTAAAGATGTGGGGTTTTTTTGGGGGGTTAATTTATGCATGTCTGATCAAATACATGCCAGGAGAATGGGTTGGGCAGACAAGGGAGAAGGAGACAGAGAAAAAGAGTGCGTGACAGAAAGGAACAGTGGTTATTTTACAAACACCGGAGCCAGGCCATGTGTGAGCCATTGTCCAGGGCTAGAATTAAGGGTTGGGAACACGAGAGCGCCCTGTTATTGTAAACAGGACGTGTTGTATTGCCACTGCTGCCCCTTTGCGAGAGGAATTTTCAATCTGCTATTTGCAGCCCTCAGACAAGCCAAGACCCACTGATTGAAAGCCAATTTGCCTCCTCGAATAGGCACTCTGAAAAACACCAGTTGGGCTTTGGGTTGGTTGTTGGGTTTTTCTTTGGTTTGGGGTTTGTTTTTTTGGTTTAGGTGTTTGGTTTTGGTTTGTTTTTTTTTTTTTCCTGCTAGGCAAAAGTAGTAGTAAAAGATAGGATAAAGGAAACGTATAGGGGAGGAACTAGATTCTTTAGACTCTTTAAAGGAAAATAAAAAGATTAATCTTCAGGGGGTTTCCTCGTTTTTATCCCTAACTGTGAACTAAGGTGTATATATACGGTACCCAAGAAGCTCCGTGCTATCAGATTATTGGAGGAGAGGGGAGAGGGGAATGTTCCTCTCTAGATTTTATAAGTATATCTGGAAACTCATCACCTTTCCCCTCCCTGCACACACACCTCCACTCCTCTTCCTCCTCCTCCTCACTCACACAGCCGTCCCCGCTCCTATGTGCTAGCTAACACGGAAAGCTGAGTTACACCAAAACACCCAAGTCTCTTATAAAGTAACCCCTGGTATCACTTTTAACTAAAGAAGTCTAGTAATTAAAAGTCTGAGTTGTTTTTCCACGTTTCCGCATGCAGTCCTAATTAAATCTTTACGATCCTCTCTGTGACTATTAACTGCCAGCATGCTGAGCGAATATCCTGTACAAAAACCCAGCAGGAGGGCGTAATTAGATAGAAAATCAGACAGGAGTCTTCTCATTAACTACAACAACTAACCCACGTTGCTGATGGAGCGAGAGGAGTGCACGCACACACATAAAGCGTGTGCACAAGCGTCGGCTCCAGAGATAAGGTGAGATGAGGAAGAAAAATTAAAAAATAATAGTAATAATAAAAAATAAAGAAGAGGAAAAATGGCGTTTCATGTTTACCTCCAGTTCTGTGCCATTGAGGAGCACCACGCTGCACTCCAGCAGGCTGCAGGATTTGCCCATCATCCCTCTCTGGGAGCTGCTCAGGGAAAGGAGGGAAGACTTTGTAATTTTATTTTGTGCCCTTTAGGTATGTAGGCTATTGATTATGAGAGAGGCACAGCCATGCACAAACACACAGCATAAGGAGCCACTGTGTGTGTGTGTGAGCTCGTTTGAGTGGGGATTCGAGGAAAATGAAAGGGAAGATCTCAGAAAATATTGTTCCGTCATATTTTTCAGAGATGTAATTTTCTCCTAAATCATATTCTTCCATCTTCGACGTCTCTGCTGAGCAGAGAGACAGTCGGAGATAAGGGCTGGATCCGGATAAGCCTCTCGGTGTAGCAAAGATAAAGTTAAAATAATAGGGAAAAAATAATTGCTTTGCTCTAAAGATGTTATTCTATCAGGAAAAAAAAAGGAAAAAAAAAGTGACAGCTCCCCAGTATGCAACAAACAACAGGAAAACCCCAAACTCTAGATAGTAATAATAATAAAATTAAACCAAGAAACCCACAGGTCCTCCCCTCCTCTGAAACCTAGCATTTAACACGGAACCTGTCGTAATTCTGCAATAAATTCCTCTTATGACCCCTTTTCTGTTGGGGAGAGGGTTTTGCTGTGCCGGCCGCAGCTTCAGCGGCAATTTCTGTTTGTTTGTTTGCTGTATGTCTCACTTTGGTGCTGAGAAATGGAACCCAAGGTTTGTCCTGTCCTCTGTGCCCGCCTTTGTTCTCTTCCCTGCTAAAGAAGTTAATGCCGTAATAACAGGTGTGCTATTAAGCTGGGTGGAAAAAAAAAAAAGGGGTAAAAAAATAAATATTTATATATATATAAAGGCTTTGAAAAGGAAATTGGGACCCTTTTCCTAAGCAATCAATTTTCAATGTAATATTTCACACTTTTGAGATCTCTATTCCTGCTCCCCCCTACCCATCTCCACTAATTCAGGACGTGGAGGCAACCTCGGGAGCTGTAAATCTTCTGCTTGTACCCTCTACGATGTGGGCGTTGCACTCCACTCCGAATTGCTCAGGCTTTAATTAAAAGTCCATAATGTAAACTATTATATATAAAAAGTAAATGGCCCTTGAATTATTAAGATGTAGCAGGGTTAAACAAACAAACAAACCAAAGGGGAAAAAAAAAAAGGGTAAAAAGAGGAGGGAGGGGGAGGAGAGGGGAGGGAAGATTTTAAGTTGTCCTTAATCGTGTTCATTTATGTCATTGCAATAGATCTTGCAGATGTTGCCAAATTGCCAGATTTTCAAAGGAAGAAATATAAAGCTTTACAGAATGCAAAGAAGCCTGTGTGATATCTATGTTTTATAAGATAACAAAACCAGTATTGCACCCCATATGCTTCACACCTCTTTTATAATTATTATTATTATTATTAGACTATATAATTTGTAAGAATTTCATCTCTTTGTCGATTTGAGGGAATAACAATAACAATAGTAAAAAAGAAAAAACAATCCCTCCTCCCCTAGTGAATTAATATAAATGGAAATAACAGAAACTCCAGTTTGGAATGACATGATTTATGTACGTGATTCTTTAATATCCAGTCAATTTGAATAGTGATGTTTTTATATCCACAGTCAGTTGAAGATGCCAATAACAGCGGTATGAACTTATTGGACCAGTCTGTCATTAAAAAAGGTATGGATTATTCCAACAAGCTAGACAAACTTCTTTTTTTTTTTTGTACTGTGTAACAATATCTTCATGATATATTTTTACTTTGGGGCAATTAATTTCTCCGGGAAGCAGGAATACATGGCAGCAATATGAATAGTTGATTGGACCGGCAGATAGAGTGAAGGGAAAAGGGAAGACACGTGAAAGGAAAAGTTTACATCCCTCCCTCGGCCTCCAAAGGGTTTAATGACACAACTGCTCTTTAATGGAGCACCCCATGTTCCAATGCAGATTCCACCGCCCCCCCTCTTCTTCTCCCCGCGATGGTCCTCGATGAGGACCCCTTGGCTTTTAATGGGGGAAGGGGATTGATTCCCTTTGGGGCATCGATGCATTTCCCAGGCGAATCAAACGTGAAGGGGAGAGAAAGAAATGCCTATGGAAAGGCAGCCGCGGCTTCTTCCACCCCCTCCCTCCACGAACCCCTCCTTCCCCATGCCCATTTTTTAAATCTTTCTACATATGCGCCCATGATTTAGTGTAACTGCACAATCACCCCATACTGTTAAAGGGAATGCGAGATTAACAAATGTTTGCAGTCTCTCGTACAGCTGTAAGCAAAATAATTAACTAATTAAACTAATTAAATGTAATTACAATAACTCATTTCGGGCGTATTGCAGCTGCTTAATTTTTTTACATTTCTCTGACAGTCACTGGAAGATGCTCGGCGATTAGTGTTGTGTTATGCTGGTAGACATTAAACAGATCA